CTGAGTAAGTCCTGCTTCTCTTTGGCTTCCTAAGCTGCTGAGCTCCTGGTTTCCTCTGCTAGTGTCTGTATTCCTTGTAATGTCTGTGCATTGATCTCTGCAAGTGCTTTCAATGCATCCTCCATTCCTTTTGCTGCTTCAAGGTTGCTGTACACTAGTGCTGCTAAAAGTAGTGACTTGCACTGCTTCCTGCTCACTGCTTGGGCTCTCCTTTCTCCTCTTGTTTTCCTTTGATGCTTTGAGCATCTGCTGGCTTCTGCGAAAAACAAAACACACTAGAATAGTACGACAGGGTGATCCAAGTAATCAGTCCGATTGGGGTTCCTAAGAACACTGCTATGCGAATTCCTTGAAATACAACTCTGTTGGAAATGACTTCCTGAACTATCACATGCACGACGTCGTGAAACTTCTTTCCTACATTTGCTAGCTTTTCTACGAAACTCTGAACATGTTCCTGTACAAGCTTTCTCAGTACTTCTCCTTGTTGTTTTACTAGGTACCTAGGGGCGTAGCCTGACTCAAGGCTCTCACTCTCCTGGTTCTCGCTGTTCCGGTTGCCGTCCTTGTGCTCTTTCGTGTAGTAATTACTCGCCGGGCACGCCAAAGACGCTGTAGAGCTCGTTCATCACTTGGTTCGCGCACAACAAAGCGTACGGTACCATGACTTTTCCTATCTCCACGTAGTCCTTGATCGTGCACGTGTTCGTGTTCCTGATCGTGTTCACGCTGGTGCCGTCGGGGTTCACGCTGCACACGTTGTAGCCTTCCTGGTAGAACTCGCCGCACACGTCGTAGTTCCTATAGCGGTTCCGGTGCGTCTTGGGCTTTCTCGACCTGCTCACCCAGGTTGCCATCAGCTCGGTCTCGTCGCTCTCTTTGTACTTCTTGTACTCTTTCTCCGGGTCGCATCCTTAGAGGCTTCTTCTTCTCCAAGGGCAAGTTCCTCCTCGACCTTGTAGTTCCTGTCGTCGCCGAGGGCCTGTCGCTCTTCCACTGTTCCTGGGATCATCATCATCCCGCAAAAAACACTGCGAGGCTTCCCAGAATCACTCCACACAGCAAGGTCACGAACGCTGCTGTGAAGGGACACTTCGTTTTCCTGACCACGGTTTCCTTGTAGGCGTACTTCTCCGGGAAACAAACACCACACGCATCGTACTGTCGGGTGTCGTTGTTCGCTGCCACGTGAGGGCAGGTGTTCCTGTGATACTTCCTTCCTCTCTTCGGAGCGATCATCAAGTCCGGCAAGTGGTTGATCCCTCGCACATTGTGTTCCTGTTCTTCCTGTGTCCAAAGAGTCCACAGGGCACGAGCTGCGCAAGCCATGAGTGCAGCCACGGTCGTTCCTAGGACTAGTAGCATCATCGCTGCCACGGTTCCTGGAGGCAGCTCCGCTACCATGTTAAAGAACGGGCTTCACTAAGCTTTCCTACTCACTCTCAACGGCGGACACTTTCCTGTCTGCGGAGTGTGTCCTGGTAGTCTCGAGCCTGTACGTCGCGAGTGCGTGACTGGCTGTTCCTACACATTATCTACACTGCACTAGCCGTGTTACTGTTCCTGGCAGAATGTTTAACAGAGTCACGGCGCCCGGGCGATCGAGATCCTCTCTTTGATCGCGAGATGGATCGATGGGGACCGCCGTGTGCAGGTGCAGCGTATCTCCGCTGTGCAGAGGAAGATCAGGTCGCCGAATACATCTTTTCTTGATTGCGACGTCTGTGCCAAGTAGTTGACGCAAATTGTGCGCAAGTATGCGTAGTTTCGAACAGAGTCATCTCTATCCCAGAGCTGCATATCAAGCTCGAGACAGCGAAACTCACGCACTTGCTCATAGAACAATGCACATAGCATGTTGCCGTCAGGTCGATCAACCGAAATTCCTGCAAGGACATGGTCCCACCGGTTGGTGAAGAAGGCCTCGAGTCTTTCTTGCTCGGAACCGTGTGTGAAGTGCGCAATCGTAGTCTTCACAAGGTCAATGAAATTGAAAAATGAATCGCCTGTGACATGTGGTCGCAAGAAATCATACAGCAGCCAAAGAATCTGCCTACTCCCGAGACGTCTGCTAATCGTGTGCATTCGCTCGGTTTCGGTCTGAAGCTTGTTCCTGAGCGCAATCGACTTGATGCACTCATGGAAAGCGAGAATTGCACTCATTTTCCAGCATTCCGTACTTGCACTCATCAACAAGATCCTCGTATCGAGTGCCATCAGGAATCTCAACCCATGACAGGGCGTAGACGGCGTAGGCAGGGTCGTAGTCGTATGCGGACGCATTGGCAACTCGCTCCTTCATGTCGACAACCCAGCGTCGCAGCTGAGCGGGCTAAGGCTCCGGTTCGAGCCGGAAGGACTTGCATTTCGCCTTTTTCGCATCACTGAGCGACCCATCGCCCTTGGGCGCGCCGGATCCCGAATCGTTGGGACCTGATGGGTTGCCCGTTTGCCTTTCGAGGCACACGCGACAAATCCTCGAAGGGTCGGGACAGCAATCATTGCAACATGAGAATCGGCATGAAATGCAAGAGTTGTCGCCAACATGCCAGTGCAACGCTCGCACTGGAACGCATCGTTCCCATTCGGTCTGCCACTGGGTCGCAGTGAGTCCGCCATCGGGCGGGCCACTGTCTTCGGGAGGACCATCGCCTCCGGGCGGCAACTCGGCCGGCCACCGCCACCTCCTGACCCAAATCCGGATGGAGGTTGACCGCCACCGCCGAATCCACCACCATATGCACCTCCGCCATCGTTGGGACCGTCACCGCCAGGCGGATGATCATCCCCAGAAGGAACATGCGACGGCGCTGTGTGCGCAGCGGGCGCAGAGGGGGCAGGGGGCGCAGGGGCAGACGTCCTACAGCTGACAGTAGGCATCTGTGGATGCACATCGCCCGCGCTTGTGGGCCGCAGCGTGGCAGTAAGTGTCGCATTCGGTGCCAGAGTGTAAGTGCCTACACTACTGTGCAGAGCTGGCACGCCGACTTCGCCACTGACAAAGCTAGATCGTCCAAGCATAGCATTAGACCATCTTGAAGGACCCTTGCCAGACGGCACGGTACGAGTATCGTAAGAGATCTGGCATGGGAAAGTCGGGCTAGACCTTGGCTCTGGAGCAAAGGATCGGAGCTCGGAGACAGGCTGAATAGCAGGACGGTGATCGCTAGCCGCTAGCCGATGACGCCGATGACATCGGCATCAAGTTCGGCGGAACGCCGGATGCCACTCCGGCGGCATTTGCGGAAGGAGCGGCGTCCGGAGATCTGGCCGAAAAACATGCCGACATTTCAGCAAAATTCTCACGATTCGGTCCGACAGGAGTAGCGTGCTCACGACTTTCGCTCGGAGCCTGCACTTCACCAACACGCTGACGTGCTCGCCTCAAATCTCATCAAGACTCTGGCAGCTCGCTTGGGACTGCACAGTTGAGGCCTTTTCCGCCGGCGCAGCTGTGCAGCCGTGTTCGATCGGACCAAGGAGTGAAGATCTCGGGATGGTAGTTCCGTGCCCGCCAGGGAATATAATGCTCCTGGAACTGGGGGCAAGTCCACGGGCCGGGGAACGTCACCATCGTGATCGCTGATATCGAAGAACTGTGTTCGTTCCTGCCTCGAAGGAGCCGAACGATCGGATGCGGCCCTGAAAACGCTGCCGTTCTCCGGTTGACTCGGGCAGAGAGATGATCAATTAGACACCGGGTACTCTCCTTATTATGTGATCGTAGAGAGCCCGGCTCATCTCGGTACTGATGACTTCGATACGGTTGGTGGTATTTTGCTCAATTTCGCCAACTCGCGCCTCGACATGCGAAATATTGATCTGAATCTGCTGTAGCGCGTCAGGGTATCGCTGTATCGAGCAAATCGTCTCCTGAAGCTGCATGGATATCGAACCAGCGCGTTTCTCGTTTAGACGATGGATCCATTCGTTCATCAAACTCGAATCGATCATTGATCATCGAATTGAGTCTCGCGAAAGTGTTCTCGAGCGTTTCGTGATCAGAGATCCGTCGCTCTCGTGCAGCATCGGCGGCGTGAGTCTGATACTCACGCTCACTTCTCACCTCAGCCTGGAGAAGTTCCCATGTATCGCGGATCTTGTTTTCCAGGACTTCGGTGACATCCGAAACGCCGCTCCTCAGGATCTCGAGGTCGGCCTTAGTGTTGGCCACGCCGATCGCCAGAACATTGGCGGCGAAACGCGCGGATGCATCAGGACCGAGGGTCATCGCCTCGTCGGGGCGATAGCCGTGAAGCCTCCTGCCATTATCGTGTGCGGGGGCACCACCACCACGAACCGATGCGTAATCGTTGCACCGGAATCGTGGGGTGCGAGCCATGCTCGCTCGTTGCCATCTGGGAGGCAGAGCCCCTCCACGGCCCACAGCCGGCCCATAATAAGCAGGGCGTGGTGGGCGGTCGTCCGGCCCGGACCCAAAGAGGGCCCGAGCGCCCTCTGGATCCCCGCGAAGGGACAGAGGGCAAGAGGAGAAGTCGGCCGGAAAAGAAGGGTGCGAAAGAGCAGAAGCAGGCAGGCAGAACACGAGCATCGGTAGCAGCAGGAAGCGTGCCAGCGAGTATCGTGCTGGGCGTTGCGAAAGCAGCAGAGCATGGCAAAAGCGGCACATGATGCTGAGCTCTCTGATCGTCCTCAGCAGGCGAAGCAAGCACAGAAGCAGAGTGAGCGAGCGAAGCGTGCGAGGCGCAGCGGGCGGCGTGGGCACTATCATCGGGCTCCACCACATCCCGTGCGACTGGCGTCACTAGTGAAGAACCGACAGTCGAAGGGACACAAGGAGAACCGATCGGAGTCGCCATTCTCTCGGTGGTGCGGCCAATCACAAGTTCCGATCTTGGTCTGGGCCAGGAAGACGGTAATGACCGGACGCTGATTGGATCAGGCGTTCCGGGTGCCTAAGCGGCAGCAGCAAAGCAGCAATCCACAATCGGATGTAGAGGTCCTACGGCTGATAACCTGTGAAAGGCAGAGGAATTCACTTAACTCTCGGTCACAAAGCCCTGGGCAACCAATCGTAGATCGTTGCAAAGCAGAGCAAGCAAAGCAGGACGATCGGAGATTAATGCCGTTAGGTTGACGCTCAGCAGAAAGGCAACACTAGAACCCCCAGGTGCTAGCGGACCTTTTGCTGGTACTCGCGGAAGCGGTACTTGAGCAGTCAAGCTGCGAACGTGAAACAAAGTTGGCAAGAGACCTAACCAGCATAGCAGAAGCACATGTACGCATGTACGTGGTAAATCACAAATGGCATTCCCGGACTTGCAGCCACTAGTCGCTAGTCTGTCTGATTTGGAGCTGCCACTGGGGCCCCAGGCAGCAAGAAGAGCCGTTGCGACGATGGTTGGGACAAGCTGCCGCCGGCACTGTGGCAAGCCCTGACAAGTGCCGCTCCAGAACACAAAAACTTTCTAACGGCGGTCTGTCCTGAAAGCTCAGTAGTGCCAGCAGGGACCCCAAGTTCGAGCAGGCGAAGATGATGGACACCCAAACGCCGCTCACCTCTCGCCATACTGCCATTTTCGAATCCGGCTTTGCATGGCCGCGCCTTTGTAGACACGAATCCGGAAAACGTGTCGCTTTCTGTGGGCATCTCAGCGAGTCAAGCAACACATGCAACTATCGAAATTCAAGCAGGACTGGAGTTGGGCACCAGGCTGCCCCGCGCACAAAGAGAAAAATTGCACCAAACCAGGCACCTGCAACGAGTTGCACCAGCTGCGGCACCTGATTGTTCGAAGCTCTCAGCATGAAATCATCACAACTTGCCTCTGGGCACAAGCCGGCAAAGCTGTCTTTGGCCTTCCATACAATACATTTGATCATTGCAGAGAGTCGCCATTAGTGTCCGGCCGCTGGAAGCATCTGGATGTGCGTTCGTGCCTCGGAAGTATCTCGATGTATCTCGCATGAGAAGCGTCCACTGCCAGAACTCCAGAGACTGCGTTCTGTCGGGAAGTGGAATTTTCATGAAGCAGACAAAGGCCCAACATTCCTCACCGCCCTCCTCTTGCCTGTACACACACGGCCAGGAAGCTCGAAAGCTGGAAACGTGGCCAGCCTCATTCGCAGAGCCAGGGAGTTCAGAGAGAATGAGAGGCAGATGTGAGGGCACGTTGCGATGGCGGTTGCTAATGGCACCAGTGCCTCGATCCAAGGACGTTTGATGAAACCTCTCCAGCTGAATATCTCCAAGGCCGCTGCGCAAACCCGAACAACTATGTAGTGGCTACCTGCCACGAGCATGACGCCGCTTTGCCGCCAAAAGTGCTGCCAGGGGCCAGGCTAAAAACTTTAAGCATCAGCGGGGAAGCTGCAAAGGCAGCTAAGCTGCCGGCCTCAATCAAGCTCGCAAAAACTCTCCAACGCTAGACTGTCAGACTCCTACTCGTACGCGACGCAGCCGGGCCCGGGACCGTTTTAGAAGAGAAAGACTTAGCCTGCACCTCGCAGAAAGGGCAAAACAAGGTCAATTTTCTAGACATCCAAAGCAATCACCTGACCTCTGTTGCGGAGCGCCCCGTGTTCCGCCTGAAAGGGCACGCTGCGACATGTCCAGCGTCTCGTTAACACTCTAGTGCTTAGTGGCTTAGCCACTCCAAGCATTCGTGGCAGGCTGCATCAGCTCTACAGACACGCCGTCCAGCACAGCCTCCTGGCGAGCAAGATCTACAAAGGCGTGCGAATCGAGATCACTTGTCATGCAGCTCACTGGGACGAGCAGATCCTGTTGGAAAATGTACAAAGCATTACGGTGTCTGAATCGATCTAAGTCGCAGCAGCACCAGTGCAAAGTGCGACGGCAGTGTAAGCGACCTGAACAACGGAAAGAGACAGCTCGGATCGAAGGACAAACATAAATTGCATTTCAGCGGTATAGAATGTGGCCCTGGCAAAATATGCCCAACGTGTCCTGCCACGCCGAACACATATCTAACATATGGTGTCTTGGAACTTCAGCAGCTGTTTGCAGACGCCATCGTGTTCTAGAATGTTCTAGATATGTGTCCAATTCCTGCTCACTGAAGCTTGGACAAGTCCCACAGCCCAGATCACCTGCAGCAGGACCTAGGCATGATCGTCCCAATGCAGGGCCGTCCAGCGTCAAAGACTTGGTGCACGTGGAATATGTGGCCCGACCAGGGCCAAGGCAAGCACCGGCCGCCGACCGCAGTTGCAGCGCCGGATTCCATCCGACAAGGCACCTCTTTTCCAATGCTCACACTCTTTCATGATCCCTTGATATCTCTTGCACCCAGTGCTGTATGCAGGCTGTGTGAGGCAACAGAAGCAGAAGCCTGACCTAGTAGTGGTCTTATCAATGCCGGTGCGAGCAGCGCGTTGGCATAGAACGCGTTGACCTTCTGAAAGACGGGTGGAGATGGGAGGGATGAAAGTCTTCTCCCTCAAAGAGCGGCTCTTGGCCTCCTCGGGGTGGGCCCGGCCATCCTCAGGATTCGGACACAGGGCTACACAGGGGTCGTAGCGCAGCCGGCGCGCAGCTGCAACAATGTGGCGCTCAGGTTTGGCGTATCTCGACATTGCAACTAGCATCGCCAAGCGTCCAAGTCAACATTCAGAATCAGTCCCATCGCAGACAATGGGAGGCTTTGAGCGAATGCCTGAGTAGATACGTTGCGATAAATACAGCCTGTCTCTTTCTGCACACTCAATGACAAATGAGGCAGCACACTGCTAGTCACTTAGACTGGTTGCAGCGAGGAAATACTGGACGAAAAATGCCTCGGTGAGTTGTGGCCACGAGTATCAGACGTGCCTTACAGGCATAGAAACGACTGCCCAGTCACAAGATGATGTGTCCACGGCTGCATGCCATCTCGAGAAGTCATTTTTTCTGGACAACAGCAAACCTGGTTCTCTAAGTTCAATTGACAAAATACACAAACTCCCAGAGTCGCAAGGCAATGCGCACCTTGCGGCAGGCACCCATGTCTCTTCCCTGTTCTGAGAATGATCCAGCAGCACATGCCAGTTGTTCTGCTCGTATGGGATGTATCTCTGGGAATCGAGGCGAGGCTTCATACTTGTCTCGTGCTTGCTGCGGCATCAACTTCTGGCGAGGGAAGAACTGCCTTCCTGCATTACGACAAGCGCTGAGAGATGTGTGCATTGGAAGCTTTTCAACGACCGCAGGCTCTCCAAGGTCGAACATGAGGCAAGTGAAACTCGTGCTGTTGGATTACCATCAACACAGGGGCTGTGGAAACTGCGGAAACCATGTGTGTTACATCTTGAGATTCCCACCAACATCCTGACGAGGCTCACAGTCGCAACTTTGGCACATGCACTTTGCCGTCAAGTTATGGCATCTCTCTTCCAGAACTCATAAGGTTAAATGACGGGGCTGATGCTCTACAGCAGTTGTCCCCTTTGTATTGGTTTCCGTTTTACATGTGATTGATGGTGACACAGCACCTCACTCTTCTGCTGCTTGGCCTTCACCTGCTGCGAGGTGCTCCGTGACCCTCACTGCACACATTTTATGCCTGCCGTGGTGGGACTTCGACATACTTCTCTCAATCCCTACAGCAAAACGATGCTTCGAAGCTGGCGGTCGCACAGACCTTTTTCGAGCAAAGTCGTTTTCGCAGCATGTGCCACTATGCGTCGCTCGACGTTGTAGGCACCTAGGCAAACAAGGCAGACGCTCCAGAGACAAACATGGAGCAGCGGATCACAGCTTCTCGGATGTTCCTCCTTTAATGCACTCACAGCTTTGCCTACACTCGTGGCACCGATTTTGCGGTCCCCTAACGGCCTCCGTTGGCATCTCTGGCCACGGTGGTTCAAGAGGTGGATCGGCTGGGCGGATTGCCTCTGGCTCCGCCGGCCTCGGTGCCACTGTGCCACTGCTGCATTTTTTGAAGACCGAAAAGGGTAGAGATTTTCGGCTCTGAGGGACGGGCGCGTTGCCTTGCTCAGGAGCCTGCGCAGGATAGGATTCCCCTGCAGTTTGGCAATCTCGAAGACCACCCAACCGGACCCAACCTCTGGAGGAAGTTTGTACTCAACCTCCGCTTGGATGAGGTCCGGCACCATCGAAGATACGATTGTGCCGGTGTCCAGCCTCGAGCTCTCAAAGTTGCCACAAACCTAAAGGGTGTCTGGGGTTCCAGCCTGGCCGCACTGCCGAAAAGAGCCTCCAGATGGGAGGCCACCAAGGGCACCAGGATATCGGCCTTGGGAGCCAAGCCTTGCTAGCACGTCGTTGTGCCAGCTCTCGCCATGTGCAGCTTGGTGGCAAAGTGTCTGCAAAGCTTCTGGAATTCGCCGGCTTTGGCCGAGCCTGCTAAGGCAGGGGTCAAACGGCACGAGCACTGCCAGCTTCAAGCTGCGAGCGTTCGTGCCTGGTCGCAGGGTTTGCGAGGCCAGGACAGACCGCAACAGGTTTACGGAAGCCATGCAGCACTCGTAGCCTTGCAAGGACTGGTGTCTAGTGGGATTCACGGACTGTTCACGATATCAGAATGCTGGTGACTTCACGAACAGCATCCTGAACCTTGCAGAGTTCTAGAAGAACAGGGCACTCCTACATAAAGTAAAGCAAACCTGGCCACTGCCCTGTGGATGTATTCACTTGCTGCTGCTCTGGCACAATGAGTCACGACACTGACACGGAGACCGTGGAGCGCGCACTGTCGAAGTTCGTTGAAGACCTCTGTGCCGAGTGTCAAGCAATGACCATGTCGGAGCCCGTCATCCCGAGACACCAGCAGCAGCAGCAGCATCCCACCCGCCCCACCCACACCACCACCCCAGCACCTGCAGCACCACCACCACGACACTCCGTGGCCTACGCGCACGAGGACGACGACGACTACAACTACTAATGCCACTCTGCATTTCTAGCTTCTACTCGTTACTTCCTGCACTCCGTGCCAACTACTAGACTCACTATTGACTGCTTATTACTTACCGCTTCCTACTACTGCTTCCGCTGTCATCTCGGGGAACTTGCGAGGAACTCCATGTATGAGCACAGATTCGTACTTGTGTATCTGCTGCTGCCAATACCCGGGCGGCAGCTCCTTTGTCTTGGAGGTCGCCGTGGCTGCGGCTGCGGTCGTAGTCGGGGAGCTGCTCGCTGTGTTTGGTGCAGACTTCTCGCGGGCCTTTCGCCAAGCGTGGCGCAGTCTTGCGCGAGCCACTGGTAACTCGGCGTCACTCACTTCAAAGACCTTGCCGTCATGGAGCTTGAATGGCGAGGAGAGCGGCTGTACCATTGCTTGATCGAACTCCTTGACGTCCTCGCCCATCTCGGCGAAGATCGCGGTCGAGAGGATGCCTTTGGTCGCGACGTAGGCGATCAGGTCCTCTGACGCGCCGGCGTCCAGGAGAAGCGCTCGCAGGCCGGTGTCCATGACAGCCTGTGCGCGGGAGCTGGGGCTATGCTTATAAAAGGGAAAAACTGCAGCGGGGCAAGCGGTGTAGTCGGTGTCGTGGCGTGTCTCTCTAAAATCCTGTTCCCTTTTTTTTGCTCGGGCGGGGCGCAGCGAGGCTGCGGGTTCGATCGCTCAACTGGAAGAGGAGTCGTAGCTGTCAGTGGACTCCGTATCGGACGGCGGCTGCCCTGCCGCCTTCTTGCGACTCTCTGCCCCTGCCTCGGGGAAACACTTGAGGCACAGGTTCTGAGAACCGTCATCATGTGCCCGAGTGAAGTTGGAGTAGCCGTACGGCCAACCGCAGCGAGCGCGCCATTTCGCTGGCGGTCGTGAGGACTCCTCGGGGTCCCGCATGTGTGCCTTGCGCTTGCACACCAAATCAGGCCGCTCTTGAATGGATTCGAGGCGTGCGGCGATGCTGTCCAGAGAGCCGATCATCGCGGCGACGGCCTCCTTGTCCTCACCTTGAAACTCCAAGAAGCTCCGATTCGGAGCGGCCGCTCCAAATCGGAGCTGGCAGCGCCGAAACGACGCTGCCGAGCAGCTCCAATTTGGAGCTTCCAGCTCCGATTTGCAGCTGCCAGCTCCGAATTGGAGCTTCTATTTGGAGCTTCCGGGTTCAAATTGGAGCTGCCAGCTCCGATTTGGAGCTTCCGTGTTTCGATGCTTGAACAGTGTCAGCAGCTCCAATTCGGAGCTTCTCGGAAGCTCCAAATCGGAGCTTCTAGAAGCTCCGATTTGGAGCTTCCAAATCGAGCTTCTGGGTTCTTTTTGTGCTTGTTAAATTTGCAGGTAGTCTTCCTGATGCATATGCCTGCAGGACGACTTTCGGCTCGAGAATATCGCAGGGAGCGATGTTGTTAGGTAGGGCTGTGAAAGCAGGGCAAGGCAAGCCAGGTGGCTCGCCTGCAGAAGGCATGGCCAGCAGTGCTGCTGGGCCCAGCTCGCCTGCACAAGGCGGCAGCAAGAGCATGGAAATGGATCAAATCAGGAGTATTGCGGCCATGCTCCGGGGCAGCTTCGGTGGCAAAGACATGAAAGAAAGCTTGTGGAACGGTACCCCAGAGGAAGTCGGCGAAAGGCACCATCAATTCCTTTGCCTTTGGTTTAGGCAGCCTCCAACGAGCATTGAAGTGACAAGGAAGATATGGCAAGAAGCTTTCCCTGGCCTGGACAAGGCCAGCCGAAATTCGGTTTTGAAGAAGATCGCTGCAGTGAAATCGATGTGCAACAGAAAAGACCGAAATTCCAAGACAGGCGAGCAGATGGCATCGTGGTTGAAAGAGTTGTTGCAGGCTTTGAAGGAGCCTGCATCTGCACGTCCTGTGCGAAGGATCTCTACTACGGGTACGGACTCGCAGCCCGAGGTTGCTGCAGTTGCACCTACTGCAGTGGCAGAAGCGACACCGCCCAAACGAAGGATCTTGAGGAAAGAGCCTTCGATCGGATCCGTTGCTGCTAGTGTACCCTCGAGTGCAGAGGTTGTTGAGTCAAGTTCGGCCGCTAGCACTCCTGTGCAAAGCTTGGGGCAGACTGAGAAAAAGAACAAAGCTAAGGCGAAGGGCAAAGCCAAAGCAAAGGCCAAAGCGAAAGCCCAGTCTTGCAAGAGGCCTGCTGGCCTGCACAAGGCCAACCCCTGGAAGGAGTCGAAGAGCTTCGGCTTGGTCAAGCCAACCTTTGCCAGAAACAAGTCGTACATCGTGTTCAAAGAGGACAAAGCCTCGAAAGAGAAGTCGCTGGTGAACTGTCAGGGCTTGGGTGACCATGCTGCTATCGTGAGGCAGCTCATGGGGTGGGTGTGCCAGGAGGAAGCTGGCTTGACCAAGGAGGATGTGATCGCCCAGCGGGACAAGATCAGGGTTGCCCTTTTGGCAGCAGCCCAGGCCGAGCCTGTGCAAGGCTAGCTGTGTGCTTGGCACCTTCTGCTGCAGTAGGATGGGGGGGGCAGGACTGGATATTAATGCACTGTGCATGCTTGCCTGCAAAGGCAGTTCCCGCGACTTCACATGGCTCTCGCTTCGGCTGGTGCAAAAAAATCGCAAATCGCAGGTCGCCCTTAAACCCTAAACCCTAAAACCCCAAATCATATAAAGCCCTAAATTTTTAGAACGGTTTTTTAACGGTTTTTGTTTGGGAAAGCTTTTCATGTTTTGTATTTTGAAGCAGGTCATGTCGAAGTGCAGTGCATGTGTCGAGTTTGTCTGTTGAATACTTTGTTCGTCCGCATTTTGAGAGCTCAAGCTTTGCAGGTAGCAACTGTTAGATCTCCCTTTAGCTTTCTGGGTTTTGCCATGCTGGCTAGCCTGCAGAAGGCTCTCATGGGCAATGGCCCTGGCCTGCAGAAGGCCATCATGATGTGCCTTTTGATGACGGTGCTCGCAGTCGTCGACTGGCCTTTGGCCGAGATCTGGGGTGTGCCGGAGGAGGACTGGCACGGCAGGTGGTGGAGGCAGCACCTTCCCACCGGTGCCTGGCTCCAGACGGGCCCGCACGGGTGGTTGCCTGAGCCGGTCTTCAGCAATGGCTGGGATCAGGCCATGTGGCAACATGGCCAATATGTGGGACCCTGGCCCTCGCCAGCAGATGGCAGTGGGACTTCACCCTGGCCTGCACAAGGCCCCAGTGGGAGTTGTCCCTTGCCTGCACAAGGCACCAGCTGCAGCAGTGGCAGCAGCTCAGGCAGTAGGGGTCCGGACGGGCAGGCGGACCTCAAGCAGGCAAAGACGGAGCCCGACGATGGAGACGCTCATGAGGAAGACTCTGGCCTGCAGAAGGCCTTGGAGATCTTGGGCCAGCTGCTTCCAAGATGCAGCCGGTTTGACACGAGAGGGTTTAGATCCCAAGTCAGGCGGAACCTGCGGCGCTTTTTGGAACGAGAAGGAATTCCGCTTCCGCCCTGGTTGTTTTCCGGCGAACCCGGCAGGGTGGCACAATTTGCCCGCTGGGCAAAACAAGTTCGGCATGAGGTCGAATTTCGCCGCCGGCAAGGAGATAGGTGTGGGGGGAACCCCTCGCCTGAAGAAGGCGGAAGTGCTGCAGGTCCCATGCCATCCGGAGCCACCGTCGTGTTGCGGGAGATGGAAGGGCTCACAAACAGCCTGCGGGACAGATTGGCTCGCCTCCGTGAAGAGGCCCCTCTCCATGAAGGGCCGGGCATCAGCAACAGCAGCAGCAGCAGCTCCAGCAGCAGCTCCAGCGAGAGCAGCCGGCCGGACGACGGCCCGAGGCCAAGTGGCAGCAGTGCAGGCCCCAGGCCAGCTGCCCGGCCTGCAGAAGGCCAAACTGCCGAGGAGTCCAACAGCAGCAGTCTCATGGACACGGTCGATCCAAGGGAGACACAGAGCGATCCTGGCCCAAGGCTGGCCTCGCCTGAAGAAGGCGATACGAAGGCCGAATCCTCTGATGAGGAAAAGAAGCCTGACGTTGTTGATGATGGGGCTGCTCCCGTTTCGGTCAGCTTGCCTGCAGAAGGCACAGGTGCTGCAAGCAGCTTGCCTGCAGAAGGCACAGGTGCTGCAAGCAGCTTGCCTGCAGGAGACATTTCTGGCCACGACACGTTGAGTATCGCGACAGAAGAATCGTGGGAGATGCAGTCGCATATGTCGCAATCTGCGATGTCTGTGAACACCTCGGGCTGGAATGTCGTCCATGAGGCGGACTACACGGGCTAATTAAGCCTGTCGTTTTGTGGCAGTGGCTGCCTTGCCTGCAAAAGGCATAGCCAAGTAGCTTTGAACACGTGCAGACGGCACCGGTCCGCAGCTGTGAAAAAATCCATCGTGCCGGGGTTCGGGGCTTGAGGGTTTAAGGGTTATAACTTGTAAGGTGTTACTTCAGATGGTTTCGGTTCACGTGTTTGCTAGGATGTGTCTTTCAAGGTGTATAGGTTTGCGGTCCATATTAAAGGCGAAACCCGGAACAATATTGAACCCTAAACAAACCCCCAGGCTGCAGGGCCCCAAGCCTTAGAGCAAAACGTACAAACCTAAAGCCCTTAAACCCCTAAACCTTAAACCCGCTGAAGCCCTTTAAAGCACCGCATAAAAACCTACAACCCTTCAACCCTAAACCCCTAAACCCTAAACCCCAAAAACCCCAAAACCCCAAAACCCTAAACCCTTGCTCCTAAAGCCCCGAAGCCACGAAGCAGCAGCCCTCCAGACCTGAAGCCCCCAGCCGCGAAAAAATCAGACCCCCAGGATGGGCTCAGGCCCCAAAAAAATCACCAGAAAAGTTCCTATAGGAACTTTTTTTAGGAACTTTTTTCATGAACTTTTATATGAACTTTTAGGTTTTATTAGGTTTGTAATAATAAAGACAAAAAGTTCCTATAGGAACTTTCCGGCGGAAAGTTCCTAAAGGAACTTTTTTAGGAACTTTTTGGCTGGCCTCGGGCTTGGGCCTGGCGGCGGATTTCAACCAGGGTTTCAGTTGAAGCACTTAGGCTCAAGCTCACGGTTTTAGAGATCAGGACGATGGCCGGTGGCTCCAAGATGAAAAAACCTGCTGCCCAGGAGAAGGCCTTGCCTGAGCAAGGCAACGGGAAGAAGCCTGAGCAAGGCAATGCCGGCAACGGCGGCTCGCTTGCAGAAGGCACACTAGTGAAGGCCGAGCCCAAAAGCCCAGCCAAGGCTCCCCCGGTGAAGATGGAGTTGGTGAGCCCGAAGAAAGGGGCTAGCCCGAAAAGGGCTGCCACGGCTGCCGCCAAGGCTCACCCGAAAATCGGGCAGTCCGAAGCGAAGAAGATGAACCAGAAACTGAAGGCTTTGGCCAAGGCCGGCAAGACGGCCCTGCCTGACACTTTTGCTAAGTGCAAAAGCCAGGCAGAGAAGAGACAGTTTTTTTACGAGGTGTATCTGCTGGATCCCGAAATCTCTGAGAGGAGGGTCGCGAAGACAGACGTGCAAGCAGAGGAGGACAGAGACGACACCCAGAAGGGCTGGTTCACAGACGACGAGATCGCCGGCTTCAAGGGGATTTTCCCTCACTCGAGTGACTACTCTAGCCTGAAGAAGGCTTGTGTTCAGGACTTGCTCGAGAGAGAGCATGAGGATGAGAACTTAGCCAAGTTGGGAATCAAGCAGTACTACTTCGAGCACTGCAAGACTTTCAGCAGCAGCTCCAAGAAAAGAGAGCTTCAGCTGGAGGAGAACGTTGGGGACGTGGGCCAGGAGGATTTTGAGGAAATCCGCAAGAAGCTCAAGGGTGCGGCCACCCAGAAGATGATTAGCAAAGGCCAGTCCGGTAGGTTGCCTGGAGAAGGCAAGGACAAGGAAGCCGAGGTTCGCATCGACCATGAGCAGAACTACAAGGACCAGCGAAAGAAGCTCACTGGCCAGCTCACCCAAGTGAGCACAGAACTGGCAACTGTGGAGCTGCTCAAGGTCTCGCTTGACCACAAGAAGCACAAGATGGCAACCGTGGTGCTGGCACAGGTG